GTCTTAATCTCCGTGTAGCGTCGATGATGTTATAGCAACGCTAACACATATGCATCTAGAAAGCAGTAAACTATACTACGTTAAACGTAAGAAAGTAAATTTCATGAGTCGTATAAATTTAGACTCTTGTGAGAGGCAGAGCATATCGATATAAAAAGCCTTATTGCTGACTCGTGTATATAAATAATGAATCGTTGCTTCATTATCACAAAAAAGCAATAAGACAAGACATATTACTGTACATTGAGAACAAAAAAAAGCTACCAAGTACGTTTTAATTTGTCATTGTTCTTTGTTTTTAGTAAGATGTTATTTTAATTATAGGATGACATTAGAACCATCTTGGTGTGTGTTTACTTATAATAGTAATTTGGGAGTAGCACGTACTATTCTTGGAGTTTTTGATTTATGGTCAAATTTATGTATGGAGTTCAATCGAAATGGTCCTTCGTGTCCGGTGAGAAATGCTGTTCATTTTAGAAGAGTGAGTTTAGTTGGTCCAGAATTATTCGCTGTATGCCTTGATACTTTACAAATATTCTGTCATGATCAGGATCAGTGGCACCAATATCAATCTGCCAGAAATATTCGATTTGGTAGATCCCAACAATTATTGCCATTTCTCGACAATAGTGTGGATGACGAAGATCATGAAAATTTATCACAAGAGGCAAACGATGAGGAAGATCAGCATGATGAGCCTAGTAGAGAAGCTGAAGATTTATCATCAAATAGTGATTTATTCTATTCTCAAATCAATCACATGATTGTGGATGAAATTCCCTTTCAAATACATCTTGTTTCTCGATAACGATCTTAGCCTATTCAATGTCCATCATCAACTTCTTCAGTAATTACTATTTATTTATTGAATATCTAGTCCAGAATCTCGAAATTTTTTAATATATGTGCTTAATAAATTGTCCTTTACCGGTGAATACGTATCGAATAAACTAAACGTCCTTCAGTTATTGTAAAATACATTTTACATTGGTGAAAGTTTCTTCAATGCGTTGTTATTTTTGTCTCTTTTTTATGGAATGCAATAAAATATGCAGCATGATCTTTTTTTGACATATTACTTTTAATTTGGTAGGAATATGCCAATAACCATATTTTTAACCACCATCAGGAGGAGGATGTGGTTGCGGGTGTGTGTAATAAGTATAGGCAAAGGTGTGAATAAAGAAAAGGTGAATGCACATCCACTCGCTATTAGTTAGCTGTTAGTTAAGTTTTTAAAAAATTTAAGAGTGCAACAACTAATACAAACATGATTGTTATTGAAATCATCCTCAATGACTCTATAGTTATTTTATTTCTCATATGATATGACACTCTTTCGATGGCAATGATTGACGTATCGATATAAAAATTTTTAACGCATGACGTAATTTTCGAATTACATATTTAACACATACATGTGTATATGTATAAATAGGTAAGGGGCTTGGTAAAAAATACGCTCTCCAACTTTTTTTTCTTTTCTTCTCTTCTGTCATACATGCGGGTTTTTTTCCAACAAAAAATATACAGTACTAATAATGATATCTTTCACGTGGAAAAAACGTATATCAATCTAATAAAGAAATTGCTAGTTAATTAATCTAAATTTCAACTTTGCATATTAATTGATTGATATGTTTCATTTATTTTCGAATCATTATAAACTTTTTCTAATAACAAATATTCAAAAAGATCTAGAAATTAAACTTAACTGTTATTAATGCATATAGAAAAATGTTAGGAATAAAAATTTAAATATTTGATTCGAATTATTTGTTGGAATATTTACAATGTAATAAAATGATAACGGATACTAATGGAACAGAAGAAGGAAATTTTATTTTTCAAAAAAATACATATTAAAAAGTGTCACATCGTGATATATGATCAAGGAGAGAAATGCAAGATGAAACAATAGTTTATTTTAACTGAGCGAAAGAAAACAAAGGTAAGAAAGATGAATAGATAGATATGCACTCATCAGGGACGATCAGATATATATATGAATATATATTAACGTATTAGAATATTCAGAAAATGAAAAAGAATATAAATATATGGAAAACTCCAATGACAAGATCATTACATCACAAAAAGAAAACACAGAAATATTGACATGAAACAAAATCAGTAGTAATAAAAGAGTTAAATTTAATTAGTAAAATCGTCCTTCATCATACTTTTGATTGTTTGACGTTTTTGACTATATTTTATAAGTATATTGAATAGTTATTCGTCTCGATAGCATTTAGCCATTTTTTTGAATTATTATATAAGGTAGTTTTTCTTGTTTGCCAAACTATATCAGTTAGTTTCTTATCGATATTAAATACTTTAAATTGACTTTGATTGAATGTCGTCTTTGAATCAAATGTAATCAAGCCCTAAACATTCAACTTCATTCAAATTAAAAGTCTTTGAAGAAAATGATTGAAAAATCATACAAATATTTTAAAATAGTACTTTGGTATTTGTGATAATCTTGTAATATTAAACATATATCCCTGGAAGTTATTTACAATAGATATTGTATAAATATGTAGATTGTGCTTAAAAAAAGTATAATATATAAGAAGTAATCCAAAAGTTATCGTTCGATTGTAATCATGAATCTTTCGTTAGAATCCATAAAGATCAATTAGAAAATATTAGACGCAAGGCTTTACCTACCAGAAATGAATAGCATTTTACTTCAGTACATTTGTCAACCATCAGTTTTCATGCAGCAATTCAGACTAAGAATAACGAAGAAGATTATTTACAATTTCATCTTTCTAAACGTACTCGTTCCATCATTTGTAACTCTATCAAAAGAAAATGGCATTACAACAGTCTTACTGTTAGATGTTTACCAATCATATTGATTAAAAGTATGAAGTTGCATATATTATTCATGGTAAGATTTATACATTTTAAAACAAGTACGCTTAAAATTATTTACTATATATTTTGCAAGTATCCTATTATCGTGATGATCAATAACACTAGTCAGAGATATTCCACTTGATATATTTGCAAAGCTACTAACATTTTTTAACCAAGATAATGAATGTGGCTGACAAGCTAAAGATTCGATATATGTAGATCAATCTTTCTATTATAAATAATGATCGTTTTTGTTCTGAATAATTCTCGTAAGCCAATTAAAATCTTATCTTATTCAATGTGAATTTTTGATATACTGATAATTCGCATATGAATTTAAAAAAAAAGAAATATCACTTTATATTAAATAAATAGTTATAAAAAAAGACAGTTTTACATTAAATAAAAAATAAATACATTATGTGTATGAATACGAGTTTCTACATTAATATAAATCTATGCGAAAACATCGACACTAAATCTTTCAAGAGAAATTTTTTCAAAGATTTCTGTTGCTTCTTCTTCATTACATTGTTTAATATCTGCAACGATCTTTAAAAAACATGATTTAACTGATGTACCTAATTTTTTTGCACTACCGCAAATATAAAAACGTGCACCATCTCTGTACAATTTAGCAATTTCACTACGATCTTCCCAAAGTAAATCTTGAACATATTTTTTATCATTATTTCCTTGTCGAGAAAA